CGCTCCCTCTCCCTCTCCCTCTGTCCCTCACCCCCTCATCTTCTCACTCTCGGTCCCCCCTCGCCACTGTCCATCCCCTGTCTCTCCTACTGTATCCCTCCCCCTCTACCCCTCTGTCTCCCTGTCTCCCCGTCTCCCTCCTCTGTCTCCCCCTCTCTCCCTCCTCTGTCTCCCCCTCTCTCCCTCCTCTGTCTCCCCCTCTCCCCCTCTGTCTCCCCCTGTCTTCCCCCTCTCCTAGATCCGGGCTCTGGAACTGGATTACAACCTTTACCGGATCGGGCAGAGTAAGATCTTTTTCCGAGCCGGAGTGCTGGCTCACCTGGAGGAGGAACGGGACCTGAAGATCACAGACATCATCATTCTATTCCAGGCAGCTGCTCGAGGCTACCTCGCTCGCAAGTATGGCATTAACCATCACATCACTAACCCTCTCTCCACTGGTTGCCGCTACCGCAGGGAGGGAGGGAGGGAGGGAGGGGAGGCAAGGCAATGGCGTACGTTGAGTGATGGGCGGGAGACGGGCGGACCATCCTCTGACTGAACTTGTTCTTTGTGTCTGTCTCCCCCCCGGCCACTGCCACCACCCCCCTCCCAGGGCCTTCGCCAAGAGGCAACAGCAGCTGAGCGCTCTCAAAGTTCTCCAACGGAACTGCGTCGCCTACCTGAAGCTCCGCCATTGGCAATGGTGGCGTCTGTTCACCAAGGTACCCTCTCGATCTTCATCACCTCCTCCACTACCTGTTCAACTCCCTCCCGATCTCCATCACCTCCCACAGCCTCCTGTTCAAATCCCTCCCGATCTCCGTCACCACCTCCGCCTCCTGTTCAACTCCCTCCCTCCCGATCTCCGTCACCTCTTCCAGCCTCCTGTTCAAATCCCTCCAGATCTCCGTTACCTCCTCCAGCCTCCTGTTCAAATCCCTCCCCATCTCGATCACCTCCTCCAGCCTCCTGTTCAAATCCCTCCCGATCTCCGTCACCTCCTCCACCTCCTGTTCAAATCCCTCCCTATCCCCGTCACCTCCTCCAGCCCCCTACAATCCTCACC